CATGCCTTATTTTTAATTTGTTTTGTAGGGACAAGGTCTTGCTATGTTGCCAAGGCTGATCTCAATCTCCTAGGCTCAAGCGATCCTCCTGCCTCAGCCTCCCGAACTGCTGGGATTACAGGCGTCGGCCACTGAGCCTGGCCTGGAATGTTCCCCATTTGCAATGCTGCTTTTCGTTGTTTATTATTATTATTATTATTATTATTATTAGAGTTTCGCTCTTCTTGCCCAGGCTGGAGTGCAATGGCACGATCTCGGCTCACCGCAAACTCTGCCTCCCAGGTTCAAGCAATTCTCCTGCCTCAGCCTCCCAAGTAGCTGGGATTACAGGCATGCACCACCACGCCCAGTTAATTTTGTATTTTTAGTAGAGACACAGTTTCTCCACATTGGTCAGGCTGGTCTTGAACTCCCGACCTCAACTAATCCACCCACCTCAGCCTCCCAAAGGGCTGCGATTACAGGCGTCAGTCACTGAGCCTGGCCTGGAATGTTCCCCATTTGCAATGGTGCTTTTTGGTTTGATTTTAAAAGGATTCACGGTCCTCCTCCTCCTGTAGCCCACCCCATTTTAGGCACAAACAGGAATCAGGCTCTGTTCCACCCTAAACCTCTTGGAGTCTCACTAACAAGACGCCGGTGGAAATAACCACACATTTACAGAAGAGAAGACTGGAGGGCTTCAAATGTCCTTTCGTGGCCATACAGAAGCATTCCTGAGTAAAGACGCATTGAGGGGCACCCAGTGAACTAGGAGATATTCACCATGGGATCCCTAGAAATGTTCTTAGCCCACCTAAGCTTCGGGGATATGGGATGGAGAACTCTGTCCACCTGCACTCCTGATTTCCCTATCAAACAGTTCGTCAAACGAAAGAACAATGGGTTGGACATAATGAGCCTGGGAGGCAGGGCGCAGTGGCTCACACCTGTAATTCCCACACTGGGAAGCTAAGGCAGGTGGATCATTTGAAGCCAGGAGTCCAAGACCAGCCTGGACAACACAGTGAAACCCTGTCTCTACCAACAAATACAAAAATTAGGCGGGCATGGTGGTGCATGCCTGTAGTCCCAGCTACTCAGGTGGCTGAGGCATGAGAATCATTTGAACCTGGGAGGCAGAGGTTGCAGTGAGCTGAGATCACGCCACTGCATCCCTATCTCAAAAAAAAAAGAGTTTGGGAGTTAGGAGTTAGCTCCTCTTAGGTTTCAAGGAGGGGCAAATGAGATGGGTCTTGAGGGATGAATAGGAGTTTGCTAATTACAGAAAGAAGAGAAAGGCATTTCAACCACAGGGAACAAATGTGCAGAGGTCTCAGAGCTGTCCCAGAGTATGCTGTGCATGAGACCAGCCCATGGAAACCCTGAATGACAGAACAAGGTGCTCACAGCCTGCCCCCAAAGCAGGTGAGAGGCAGGATCTAGGGTCACAGTGCCTGAAGATTTACTCCCTTTGCTCAGCCCTGAGAAGCCCCCAGTTCTGTCCAGCCTCTTCACCATGTCCTTCAGCTTAGGCCCCACCTCAGTGGGGATCTCTCCATGCCCAGCTCCTCCTCCATCAACCTCCACTCTGTCCTCCTGGCCAGTAGCTCCCCCTTGGTGAGTCCTCGGTGGGGAAGTGTGTGTCCCATGCTCTAGGCGGGGTCCAGAGATTAAAGGCTGGGAGAACCCAGCTACACGAGGAAAGACACATATAAGGGTATGGCTGGACACAAGCAGGTGGGGAAGATGATCTGGGGGTCTCAGTAGCCCCACAGCTTCATATGAATCATCAGCTCTTTTCTGTTCCCTTACGTCCTTAGAGTTAAAGGGGAAGCTTGTGGATGTGTCTGGAGGACAAGAAAGATGGGCACCATAGCAGATGTGAGTCCTGTCCTGCCTGTGGAAGTGGGCACCTCACAAGGAAAGGAAGGGACGCTGGATTCCTAGAGCTTCCATCCCCCTCCCGCCAGAACCGGACAGCACCTGGGAGCTGAAGTCGTGCTGCTGCAGCTGGCGGCCCTCCCGCAGGTCCCAGCAGCGCACCGTGTTGTCCAGGCCCCCTGTCCAGAGCCGAGTGCCATAATCGGAAATATCAATGCAGCTGGCACCGTCCGTGTGGCCCTGGAACTGCCTGGAGGGAGAAGGGCCCAGGCGTCCATCTTGGAATTCGAGCTGCCCCAGGGTCCTCCCAGGTCACTCCTCCACCCTCTCTGCACCAAGAGGGGCCGGGGGTTTGCCCAAGGTCCTAGCGCACCTGCCACCCACCTGACCATAGTCTGGTTCTGCAGGTCCCAGACCACAATGTTGCCATCGCTGCAGCAGGAGAAGCAAACCTTGGCGTCGGGGCTGACGGCCAGGGCGTAGCAGGCCGGGGCCGAGGAGGTCAGCTCGGCCTTGATACGGGGGGTGGGCGCCGCCAGATCCCAAATGGACAAGGTGCTGGCCTCACCGCCCACTATCAGACTCCGGCCATCTGGCAGCAACTTGCAGGAGCGAATGTAGTTGTCTCGGTTCTGGGGTCGGGGAGAGAAGCAGGGGCTGGGGGTTGGTCCCAGGTGAGGCCTCTAGGAGCCTAGCTCAATGTGGGGGTCTCTGGAGCCCAAGGTAGCCTCATCCTGATTAGCCTGCAAGCCCTACCCTGACTGGCCAGCAAGACCCACCCCTTTGGCCCATAAACCCTGTTCCATTTGACAAGCTCCGCCCTTCACCTGTAAACCCCATCCATCGTTGGCCTGCAAGCCCTACCCTGATTCCTGGTGGGCCACGCCCCTTTGACTCGCAAACGCTGCCCCATCTGACTATAAGCTACATCCTTTACCTATAAACCCCACCCATACTTGGCCTGCAAATCCTATCCCGATTGTCTTGCAAGCCTAATTCTGATTGGCCAAAGAACCCCACCCCTTTGGCTTGCAAGCCCTGCCCCATGTGACTACAAGCTCCACCCTTCACCTATAAGCCCCGCCCTTCACATGTAGCCCCACCCACACCCAGCCTACAAACACCACCCCATTTGAACATAAGCTCCACCCGTCAGTTGCGAGTCCCGCCCACTGTCCCACCCCCGCCCTCACCAGGCAGTCGAGCTGGGCCACGGGCGTCTTGGCCCCAGGCTGGCCCACGTCCCACACCTTCACACAGCCCTTGCCGCCCGTGTACACGTGCTGCGTGGAGCCGCTGATGGTGACTGCGCAGACCACCTCGCCGTGTGCCAGCGTGTGCAGCTGCCGGGCGTGCCGCGGGATGCCCGCGCCCACCAGTGCATCCGAGGGGAAGGGCACGGGCTGCATCTGTCCGTCCGCAGACACGTGAAAGGAGTAGGCCCTGGAGAGAAAGCCGGGGCATGACCCAGCCCTGGGCACCACGCCCCCGCACCCGCACCCGGGAGGGCAGGGAGATGCCTTTGTCCTGCCTGGCATCCTCTGATGCGTTATTTATTTATTTATTTATTTGAAACGGAGTCTCGGTCTGTCGCCCAGGCTGGAGTGCAGTGGTACATCTCAGCTCACTGCAAGCTCCGCCTCCCGGGTTCACGCCATTCTCCTGCCTCAGCCTCCCGAGTAACTGGGACTACAGGCGCCCGCTACCATGCCTGGCTAATTTTGTTTGTATTTTTAGTAGAGACGGGGTTTCACTGTGTTAGCCAGGATGGTCTCCATCTCCTGACCTCGTGATCCACCCGCCTCGGCCTCCCCAAGTGCTGGGATTACAGGCGTGAACCACCACACCCGGCCCTTTTGTTTTGTTTTTTGAGAGGGAGTCTCACCCTGTCGCCAGGGCTGGAGTGCAGTGGCCGGATCTCAGCTCACTGCAACCTCTGCCTCCCGGGTTCAAGCGATTCTCCTGCCTCGGCCTCTCGAGTAGCTGGGATTACAGGCATGCGCCACCACGCCCGGCTTAGTTTTTTGTATTTTTAGTAGAGACAGGGTTTCACCATGTTGGCTAGGCTGGTTTTGAACTCCGAACCTCAAGTGATCCACCCACCTCGGCCTCCCAAAGTGCTAGGATTATAGGCATGAGCCACCAGGCCCAGCCTGATATGTTTTTTGGTTTGTTTTTTGAGACAGAGCCCCACTCTGTCGCCCAGGCTGGAGTGCAGTGGCGTGATCTGGGCTCACTGTAACCTCTGCTTCCCGGGTCCAAGCAATTCTCCTGCCTCAGTCTCCCAAGAAGCTGGGATTACATGAGCAGGCCACCACGCCTGGCTAATTTTTTTGTATTTTTACTAGAGACAGGTTTTCACCATGTTGGTCAGGCTGGTCTCAAACTCCTGACCTCAAATGACCCACCCACCTCGGCCTCCCTGGGATTACAGGCGTGAGCCACCAGGCCTGGCCTATGATGCATTTTTTTAAAGTAATTATCTCTATTATTATTTTGTAGAGACGAGGTCTTGCTATGTTGCCCGGGCTGGTCTCAAACTTCTGGCTTCAAGTGATCCTCCCACCTTGGCCTCCCAAAGCCCTGGGATGACAGGAGTGAGCCATGGTGCTCGGCCTCTGATTCATTTAGGAAAAAGGCAGGACAACGTGGTCAAAACTGATATGGGACAGTCAGTGGGTGGCACAAATACACAGGGGGTCTAGGTCGTGGTGTGGCGCATGGTAAATAAACACTTAATAAACGTTCGTTCAACCAAGGACCCACGAAGGCATGTTGAATGTTCCAGACCAGATAGAGGGCACTGTCCTAGAAGCCCCAGCCACCTGTGACCAGTTAAGATACTTAAATGAACTGAAATTAAATAAACATTTTCAGACCGGCACAGTGGCTCACATCTGGAATCTCAGAACTTGGGGAGACTGAGGTAGCTGGATCATTTGAGGTCAGGAGTTCAAAACCAGCCTGGCCAACATCGTGAAACCCCATCTCTACTAAAAATACAAAAATTAGCTGGCAGTGGTACAGGCCTGTAATCCCAGCTACTCAAGAGGCTGGAGCAGGAGAATCGCTTGAACCCAGGAGGTGGAGGTTGCAGTGAGCTGAGATCTCACCACTGTACTCCGGCCTGGGGGACAGAGTGAAACTTCATCTCAGAAAAACAAAACAAAACAAAAATTTTCAGCTCCTCAGTTGCACTGGCCACATTTGAAGTACTCAAAGCCACAATCAGCTGGTGGCAATCGGGTTGGCCAGCAGTGGGTATAGAACACCTCCATCACTGCAGAAAGTTCTGTGGACACTGGGGCTAGGTCTTCGCTGGGGGAGCCGTCCCCGTTAGCAGGGTGCTAAGCAGCATCCCTGGCCTCCACACTCCAGGCCAGGAGCGTTTCCTCCCCCAGCTGTGACAACCACATTTGTCCCCTGACATCACCCAGTGTCCCCTTAGGGGTCAGAGTCTACTTCTATGGAGAGCCAGTGGAACTCCAAGTAGCTTACACAAGAGACTTTTTTTCTTTCTTTCTTTTTGTTTTTTTTTTTGAGACTGAGTCTCGCTCTATCGCCCAGGCTGGAGTACAATGGCACAGTCTCAGCTCACTGCAACCTCCACCTCCCAGGTTCAAGCGATTCTCATGCCTCAGCCTCCCGAGTAGCCGGGATTACAGGTGCCCGCCACCACATCCAGCTAATTTTTGTATTTTTAGTAGAGATGGGGTTTCGCCATGTTGGCCAGGCTGGTCTCAAACTCCTGACCTCAAGTGATCCGCCTGCCTCGGCCTCCCTAAGTGCTGGGATTACAGGCGTGAACCACCATGCCTGGCCCACACAAAAGACTTTCTAGAAGGGGAGCAGGGAGAGACCCCAACCACACAGGGTAAGACCTCAGAGGAGGCGGGGGGCTGGCCTGGGTCCCCAGGCAGGGAACCCCACCCTGGTACTCACGGCTTTCCCCCAGGGATGCTGGGTAGGGAGGAAGAGACAGATGACCCTCGGAGATGCGGGTGAGACTCAAATGCCATCTGTCAGAATGCCAGAGGGGGTGTCAGTGAGACAGGTGACTCCAACCCACCTCTGTGCTGCCCCACGCCCACCTGCCATGCCGCTGTTTATCAGCCCCTCCCCAAGGAAGCAGAGATGCCCTGTCTCTGCCTGTCACACTACACAGGGAGGGCTGAGGTTTTCACTTGAGGGCACCGGCCCCAAAATCTCTGTCCAGGAAATCCTAGAACTCCAGGGTTTCAAGGATCCTGAAGGGTTCTCCATCCAACGTCCAGACTGGCTCTATGACAGAGGTCTCTAAACTCCAGCCCCCCGGGACAAATCTGGTCCACTGCTCACTTTTGTAAACAGTGTCCTAAGGCCAAGGCCCTACTGCTCCTTTTCATGCAGCTTAATCACCATTGCATTTTTCCACAATCACAAGTCCTGCTTTGTATTAAGCTTGTGGGACTACTGAGACCCCCAGATCGTCTTCCCATGCACACTTGCTGAGTCAGGGCTCCCTTCCCTTTCTGCACTCCTGTGTCTCTCCTTGTGTAGTTGGTTTCTCCTCCCGGCCCCCAGCCCCTGGGCCCTGCTGACACCTCCTGCGCCCCCACCCAAGGACTCACCATGGGGGAGCGTCCGTATACCACAGAGCTGCTGACCTGAGGGGACAGGTGGAGGCTGACATAGGAGCTGGGCACAGAGAGGTCTCCATTGAGGGTGCTGTGGGAGCCCAGGCTGAAGGACGTGGTGAAGGGACTGGACAGAGTCAGGGGGCTCCTCAGGGCTGAGAGTGAAGAGTCGGGGACAGGTTTTGACACCCTGGACCCAGATCCCACCTCCCACTGCCTGGGGAGCTCCCTGGCCCGTCATTCGGAGTTTCCATGCGCTGGTCCCACATTGGCCATAGCCCGGGACACCTCCAGACCTCTGCACTATCATTCCTCCGGTGGACATGACTTTCTCTCCCTCTTTTTTTTTTTTTTTTTTTAGATGGAATCTTGCTCTGTTGCCAGGCTGGAGTTCAGTAGTGCGATCGCGGCTCACTGAAACCTCTGCCTCCTGGGTTCAAGCAATTCTGCTGCCTCAGCCTCCCGCGTAGCTGGGACTATGGCCATTCTCTTTCTTTTAATTGGCAAACTCCTACCCATCCTTCAAAACCCAGGCTCATGCCTGTAATCCCAGCACTTTGGAAGGCCGAAGTGGGAGGATCACCTGAGGTCAGGAGTTCAAGACCAGCCTGACCAACATAGTGAAACCTGGTCTCTACTAAAAATACAAAAATTAGCTGGGCATGGTGGCGCATGCCTGTAATTCCAGCTACTTCGGAGGCTGGGGCAGCAGAATTGCTTGAAGCCGGGAGCAGGAGGTTGCCATGAGCTGAGATCGCGCCATTGCACTCTAGCCTGGGCAACAAGAGTGAAACTCCGTCTCAAAAAAAAAAGAAAAAAAAATTGAGGCCCAATGTCCCTTAACATCTCAGAAACATCCTTGAACCTCCCCGTTGCCAACCTCCAGCTTTGCCCTTCTTGGGCACCTGGCTTGGTACCAGCCCTGATTATACAGGGCTGTGAGTTTTGGGGTCTGGGTTTCGTCCCTTTTTGCCACCTGGGAGTTCCTTGAGGGCAGGTTCCAAGGACAACTTTTTTCAGGGGCCCTGGAACCAGCCCAGGGCGTGACCGTAAGGCAGAAAAGATGACCACTGTCATTCCCCAGATTACTGATGGGGAAACTGAGGCTCAGAGAGGTTGGGTCACTTGCCCAAGGTCACCCAGCTGGTGAATACCCAAGCTTGGTCTGAAACCCAAGCCCATCTGGCCCCGAAGATCGTCTCTCCAGTGCACTAGGCTGAAACCCGCGACTAAGCCCCTTCCACGCTCCAGGCCTCAGTTTCCCTACCCGCCAAGCTGAGACAACGAGGAACTGCCCAGAGGGAGGCAGAGTCTAACTTGAAGTCACAAAAAGGACTAAGGCAATGAATGCCAGGCCTGGAATCTCAGCCTTCTGCCTCTCCAGCCCCTTTTCCTGGATCTCCCCGGGGATGAGGCCTGCTCCGGACAGGTACCAACAGGCAAGGTGCTCACCGATGCTGTCCGTGGAAGGCGCTGGCTTGGCAGCGAGCTGGCAGAGGTGACTGGCCGAGCTGGGCCCAGGGGTGGACGCGTCCTGGGGCGGGGAGGAGTCGCAGGACTTGGAGGCAGGAGTGCTGGGGGGAAGGTCATTCTGCAGAGAAAGGGCAGGACTGAACGCCACCAGACACCTGGTGTCTTGTGGCCTAATGATCTGATCAGAAACTGTGGGGGCCAGTCACAGTGTCTCACGCCTGTAATCCCAACACTTTGGGAGGCCCAGGTGGACGGATCACCTGAGGTCAGGAGTTAGAGACCAGCCTGGCCAACATGGTAACATGGTAAAACCACATCTCTACTAAAAATACAAAAAAAAGATCAGCCGGGCGTGGTGGCGCATGCCTGTGATCCCAGCTACTCGGGAGGCTGAGGCAGGAGAATTGCTTGAACCCGGGAGGTGGAGGTTGCAGTGAGCTGAGATCACGCCATTGCACTCCAGCCTGAGCAGCAGAACACAACTCTGTCTCGGCTGGGAGCGGTGGTTCATGCCTGTAATCCCAACACTTTGGGAGGCCGAGGCAGGTGGATCACTTGAGGTCACCCTGGCCATCATGGTGAAACCCTGTCTACTAAAAATACAAAATTAGCTGGACATGGTGGCACGTGCCTGTAATTCCAGCTACTCGGGAGGCTGAGGCAGGAGACTTGCCTGAACCCGGGAGGCAGAAGTTGCAGTGAGCTGAGATCAGGCCATTGCACTCTAGCCTGGGCAACAAGAGCAAAATTCCACCAAAAAAAAAAAAAAGGCAACAAAGTTACAAAGTTATAGGCTGTCAAGATTTGCATTTTTTTTTTTTTAATACAGGGTCTTGCTCTCAAAAATAACATGATCAGATAGGCACTGTGGCTCATGCCTGTGATCCCAGCACGTTGGGAGGCCAGGACAGGCAGATCACCTGAGATCAGGAGATCTAGACCATCCTGGCTAACACAGTGAAACTCTATTCTACTAAAAATACAAAAAATTAGCCAGGCGTGGTGGCACGCACCTGTAGTCCCAGCTACCCAGCTATCCGGGAGGCTGAGACAGGAGAATCTCTTGAACCCGGGAGGCAGTGGTTGCAGTGAGCTGAGATCGTGCCACTGCACCCCAGACTGGGTGACAGAGAGAGACCCCATCTCCAAAACAAAAAACATAAAACAAACAAAAAAAGGCACGCTCGTAGCTCAATGCAGCCTCAACCTCCCACACTCAAGTGATCCTCCCGACTCAGCCTCCCAAGTAGCTGGCACTACAGGCACACGTCTCCATGCCCGGCTAACTTTTTAAATTTTTTTGTAGAGACAAGGTCTCACTATGTTGCCCAGGCTGGTCTCCAACTCCTGCTCTTGAGTGATCGTCCTGCCTTGGCCTCCCAAAGCCCTGGGATGACAGGCATGAGCCACAGCCCGCAGTCACTGTTGAGATTCTTGAACGACAAGGGATTAGAAACTCCGGGATGGGCTCGTGGAGAGGCAGACCCCACCGCGGCATATTCTCAGGCGAAGGAAGAACGCCTAGCACACAGTGCAATCCTCCTTGTGCCCCCCACGGAAAGGGAGGTGTCACCCAGAGCTGTCCTTCCCCAAGGCGGGGCTCTGAGGAAAGCAGCAGCTGGACCTCCATCTAGGGGCAGGTTCTGTTATCTCGGCTTCATGTCACCGCCTCCCCTGCCTCCCAAGAAACTTCGCATCCTTGTCTTGCGTCTGTCTCGGCTTCCCATGACACCATCGCACACACGCTGACAGCTGCACAGCACCCACACCCGCGAGAGAGTGGATGGGACAACTGTGGGGTCAGGGAGGACCCCTGAGGGCTTCTCCAATACAACGGAGCTGCCCTACCCCCTCGTAAGGCTTTTCCCGCAGTGGGAGGAGGGCACTTAAGATAGAATGGGAGCCCCAACCTCTGGTGGTTGCCATGGTAACCTGCCAAGAGGGGAGGCCTTGAAACCGGGAGGGGAGGCCTAGAAACCGACATACTCTCCCCTGGTAAGTGCAGCGGAGGGGTCTGGAGAAGATTTGGGGTGAGGGGAGCCACAAAAGGAGCTGAATTTGGAATGCCCTGGGGGTGCTTTTAGATGGCTTACATGCCTGGCATTAAACTCCAGGAGGTCCAACCGGAAAGTTGTTCCTATATTAATTATCTTTCCTTCCGGGGACAACATCTCAGCTTGGGGCCGGTGTGTCTCTAAGCGCCTCTGGAAGGGCTCAACACATGCAGGCCTGGGTCCAGCTTAGCTGGCTAGGCTTTCACTGTGTTTATTTTCATGGGATTTCCTATTGATTGCAAGAGAGAGACTTGCTTTCCATGTAAGGTGGTGAATTGCCTTTTAAAATTTATCTACAAAGCTTCTTTACAAAGTTGCCTTTTATTATTTACTGAGGTTCAACAAAGTCAGTCCCAGCGGGAGGTTAAAAAAAAAAAAGCACAAGGAGAGGGTGGACAATGCCAGCCGGGCTGATTTCTCATCATTGCCCTCTGTGTCATGGGGTAGTGTCTGTTTCCAGGCCCCCAGGATGAATAAAGTGAGTTTCAAGGCCCTCCCCTCCTCCTTACCAGGATGAGCTCCTTGGCTCTAGGGAGTGGTGAGCCAAGGCTAGAGGCCAAGGAGGCCGGACTGTCCACCAGGTCCCGACGGGCAGGAACACAGATGGGTACCTTTCCGCAGGGGGTGGTGGCCGGGCTGGGGGGCTCTGAGGGTTGGTCCTGGGTTCGAGAAGGTAACATTGAGCAGAGTTGAAATGAGAGAGAAAGAGTCCCTCTCTATCCTCCTCCCGACTCCCATCCCAATCTCTAGAATGGGTACCCACGACCCACCATGGGAAGATTATGAAACCTCCTGCTGCCTCAGTTTACTCATCTGTAAAATGTACTTTTTTTTTTTTTTTTTGAGTCTCACTCCATCACCCAGGCTGGAGTACAGTGGCTGCCTACAACCTCCACCTCCTGGGTTCAAACAAGCACATCCAGCTAATTGTTTTGTATTTTTAGTAGAGACAGGGTTTCACCATGTTGGTCAGGTTGGTCTCAAACTCCTGACTTCAAGTGATCCATCCGCCTCAGTCTCCTAAAGTGCTGGGATTACAGGTGTGAGCCACCATGCCCAGCCTGTAAAATGGGTTTAATGATAGGCTCTACTCCATCAGCACCCATAGCAAGGACTACATAAGGCCTTGCTTTTATTTTCCCATTGAACAGATGGGGAAAAGTGAGGCCAGGGAAGTGGGGATGTCACTGCCCACAAATCACTTAGTGAGCCCGGGCTTGAAGTCACTCCCCATGCAATGGAGAGGAGGTCAGCCAGTGGTGTCAGGGAGCCCCCGACACTTCCTGGCCCCATCCCAGCTGTCCCACAGAGGGGGGAACGAGGACCCCCACTACCTCTGGGTCCTCCCATTCCAGAAAACTCACCCCTTGCTCTGTGCCTAGAGTAGGGGAAGAGGCTGGACCCCTGGACTCACCTCATCCACCACCAGATTGTAGTCACTCTTGTCTTCGTCACTTTCCTGGTGGGAGATGGGGGAGAGAGCTCATCGTGGTCGTGCCCCTGCCTCCGTGCCCCCATCCACTCCCCAGGAGTTGGGGGCATGAGCCCAGCCAGTCCCAAGGCATGACTGGGATTCTCAGACTCCTGCATCCGTTTGCTCAGAGCAGAAGGGAAGGCCGCACGTGCCCGCATCTGGGAAGGACGGGGTCGGCCGGGCACGTGGGCACCTTGTAGACAGGATTTTGAAGGATGTGGACTACATGAGTGCCCTGTGTGACTCCCGGTCCTCAGACCTCAGTTTACCCCCTGTATGGTAAGGGGAGAGCCAGAGACCAGGAATCGTCCCTACCTCCTTCCTCGATCTCGCCAACGAAGTCAAGCAGTCCCTTGGGCATGTCTGTCTCACCCATCTCTCTGGACATTTCCACCCACTACAGCCCTAGGACAGACCTCGTACCCTCCTAATCCCTTCCTGGGGCTCCTGGCCTCCAGCCTTGCCCTCTCCAGGCAACCCTCCAAGCTGGCCCCAGATAGATTTTCCTAAGACCTATCCCCACCTCTGCTCTGCAACCCTCTATGGCTCCCCATTGCTTTGGAAGAAAGCCCAAGCTCCAATTCTATTCACGGACGCAGACAACACTATCCTGGGTACCACGGCAGGGAGCGGGGTGGGATGGGACACCACTGACATGCTGGGCTGCAGGGCAGCCTCTGGTTGGACTGGAAACCAAAGGAAGAAAAAAGGTTGCAGCCTGGAAGACAAAATCCGCCCAGTGGGTGGGTTCTCCTAGACTCCCTTCCTATGCGCAGTTTTCTTCTTTAAATGAAAATTTGTTGCATCCAGGTGCAATGGCTCACACCTGTAATCCAGCACTTTGGGAGACCAAGGCAGGTGGATCACCTGAGGTCAGGAGTTTGAGATCAGCCTGGCCAACATGGTGAAACCCGATCTCTATTAAAAATACAAAAATTAGCCAGGTGTGGTGGCGGGTGCCTGTAATCCCAGCTACTGGGTAGGCTGAGGCAGGAGAATCGCTGGAACCCAGGAGGCGGAGGCTGCAGTGAGCTGAGATCGCACCATTGCACTCTAGACTGGGCAAGAGAACAAGACTCTGCCTCAATAAATAAATAAAATTCATTGCCAAAAACAAAAAACAAACAAAAAACAGCTATTAGGTAAAAAGAAGATTTAAGGCTTCTCTGAGAAACAGCAATATTGGCCCACACTGAGCCTGCCAGTCTCCGAGGACCAGGTTGCAGCTGCCCCCGTAGGTGGGAGAAGGGCTCCCCAGCTGGTCACAGCCCCATTCCCCACATTCAGCCTGGCCCCTGGGACGCTAGAGTTTGAAACTACAAGTGTGCAGCTGTCTGGCAATAAGAGGAGGTCCCAGCCTCTAGGAGGTAGTCAGGGAAGGCTTCCTGTAGGAGGTGGTACCTTGTGTCTTGATGGAAAAACAGGTTTTCTAAAACGTGTGTGTTCTCGGGAAAGAAAACAGATGGAGCAGAAGTTAGAAGGTGGGAAAATGGCTGTATGGCCCAGAGGCCACAGAGACTTCAAGCAACTGGAGTTAAGCCTTGCATCACAGGATCTGCTCTGATTGGTCAGTACTCTGAGTAGTAGGGAGCTATGGAAGGTTCTGGAGTGAGAGAATCATGGCCAGAGCTGGGCTCTGGAAGGCTCTAAGGGCATGCCCACCCCAGTCCTGCACCTGCCCCTACTCACATAAGGTCCTGACAGCTCCTTCTCATCTGCTCTCTGCTTCCCACCACCACCAGGGCCACTCGGTCGCTCCTCCTCCACGAGACTCTCAGGAGGCGAGGGAGACGCACTCTGCGGAGAGACAAGGGCCAGGGGGAGAAACGGTCAGGGCCCCGGGCTCCTAGATTGCATTGTGATCCAGCCGAGACTGAGGGTCCCCACCGTTATTAGGGTCTGGACCACAAGCTTCCCATCTGGGAAATGGGAGCTTCCAAGAGCTGACTCAGTGCTAAACTTTTCTTTTCTTTTCTCTTTTGTTTTGTTTTTGACAGAGTCTTGCTCTGTTGCCCAGGCTGGAGTATAGTGGAGTCATCTCAGATCACTGCAAGCTCTGCCTCCCAGGTTCAAGCGATTCTCCTGCCTCAGCCTCCCCAGTAGCTGGGATTACAGGCATGCACCACCATACCCAGCCAATTTTTGTATTTTTAGTAGAGACGGGGTTTCGCCATGTTGGCCAGGCCTGTCTCGAACTCCTGACCTCAGGTGATCCACCTGCCTCAGCCTCCCAAAGTGTTGGGATTACAGGCATGAGCCACTGCAAGCAGCACCTTACTTCTTCTGAGACCTCTCTGACATCTATAGTTACTTCAAAATTAAACCATTTTGGCCGGGCGCAGTGGCTCACGCCTGTAATCCCAGCACTTTGGGAGGCCGAGGCGGGAGGATCAGGAGGTCAGGAGATCGAGATCATCCTGGCTAACAGTGAAACCTCATCTCTACTAAAAATACAACAACAACAAAAAATTAGCCAGGCATGGTGGTGGGCACCTGTAGTCCCAGCTACTTGGGAAGCTGAGGGCAGGAGAATCTCTTGAACCCAGGAGGTGGAGTGTGCAGTGAGCCGAGATCGCACCACTGCACTCCAGCCTGGGCAACAGGGCGAGACTCCGATTCAAAAGGAAAATTAAACCATTTTTTGAAAAACTTACAGACACAGCTCGCATGACATTTCTGTTGGGGATCACCCACAGATATTGCCGAACGGATGATGGCTACACGAACGGAAGTGAGGATGGGAAGAAGGATCCAAGGTCTTGCATTCATTTATTTAATCACCCAAAAAAAGCTCGAGGTCAAATTTTTTTTTTGTTTTTTGATATGGAATCTCACTCGGTCGCCCAAGCTGGAGTGCAGTGGTGTAATCTCGACTCACTGCAACCTCCACCTCCCAGGTTCAAGCGATCCTCCTGCCTCAGCCTCCCCAGTAGCTGGGATTACAGGCACCTGCCACCATGCCCAGCTAATTTTGTATTTTTAGTAGAGATGGGGTTTCATCATATTGGCCAGGCTGGTCTCGAACTCCTGACCTCAAGTTATCCACCCACCTTGGCCTCCCAAAGTGCTGGGATTATAGGTGTGAGCCACCACGCCCGGCCATGATTGAAAATTTTAAACACTACGGCCTTGTGGGCATCTCCCACACAGAAAGGCTTCAGGAAACCGGGCTGTGTATCTTTTTGTTGTTGTTGTTGCTGTTGTTTTTTGAGACAGTCTTACACTGTCGCACAGGCTGCAGTGCATGGTACAATCTCGGCTCACTGCAACCTCTGTCTCCCAGGTTCAAGTGATTCTCCTGCCTTGGCCTCCCGAGTAACTGGGATTACAGGCACCTGCCACCACATTTGGCTAATTTTTGAATTTTTAGTACAGACAGGGTTTCGCCATGTTGGCCAGGCTGGTTTTGAACTCCTGGCCTCAAGCAATCTGCCCACCTCAGCCTCCCAAAGTGCTGGGATTACAGGTGTCAGTGCCTGCATCTGGCTTTTTTTTTTTTTTTTTTTTTGAGACAGGGTCTTCCTCTGTCACCCAGGCTGGAATGCAGTGGTGCAATCACAGCTCCCTGCAGCCTTGGCCTTCTGGGCTCAAGCGAACCTCCCACGTCAGCCTCCCAAGTAGCTGACACAACAGGCATGGACCACCACACCCAGCTAACTTTTTGTATTTTTCTGTAGAGACGGGGTTTTGCCATGTTGCTCAGGCTGGTCTCAAACTCCTAGCCTCAAATGATTCTCCTACCTCTGCCTACCAAAGTGCTGGGATCACAGGCATGAGCCACCACGCTCGGCCTAGGTCTCATTCTGAGGCCCCCATCGGCTCAGAACCAGCATCGGCCTTCCAAGAATATAAAGAGAGTCCCAGGGTGACACTCACTTACCCTGCTCGGGGCTCTCTCCACTGGCAGATTGGAAATGAGATAAAGAGAAAGGAGAAAGAATGAGGTGTTTGTATCCAGAGGGTACAGCCCTACACAGTTTATGAAGCCCCCCGCCCCCACCACCCCACCCAGAGTCTCCCTATCCTTCCAACACCCTTGCAAGTGGTGGACTGTCCCTCCCCTGCATTCAGATCAATGCCCAGAGAGGGGCAGTGACTTGCCCCGAGGCACACAGCACACCAGGGGTAATGTTGAACCCCAAGGCCTTGCAGCCGCTCTCATTCATCCCCTCACACTTTATTATTTATTTATTTATTTATTTATTTATTTATTTATTTATTTATTTATCTGGAGACAGAGTCTTGCTCTGTTGCCCAGGCTGGAGTGCAGTGGCCTGATCTCAGTTCACTGCAAGCTCCGCCTCCCAGGTTCACGC